GTTTACTGAAGAACTTGATTTCTAAAGAACTTGCAATTGTAATAGGGTCACGTATTCAGAGAATACAGTTTATTTTAAAAAAGTCGTTTAAGTAACGGGGATGCTCGAACAAGAATGTAACAATTAAATATTACTTAATTTATTACTCGTTATTAAACCTATTTGTTTATACATTTATTGTTAATATTATTTATTATAATTTTCCGAGAAGTACTTTATTTCTTGTTTTTTTTCGCTTTTTTATGTGTAGTACGTGACTAAAGTTTGAAAATAAATACTAAATAAACATAAGCTGTGAGCTTATTACAATAACAAGTTCTTCAGAAATCGTAAACAATTTTTTGAACAGCTATGTTCAATAATAACGAACAAGAAAACAACTGAATATTCTACATAAAAACGTACATACCTTCTAAACAAAGCGATAAACTAAAATGAAAAAAACAAGAAAATGTGTTATTATGATTCACACCTAGCATATAAAATAGAATATTTAAGATGTAATTAGAAAATGAACAGTAGTTATAATAAGAAAATACTATTAACGATGGCTGTAATAGTCTAATAAAAAAAGGAACTACCGTTAATGAATCCATAATACATTATCAACAGACATACAACCAAATTATAACATTAAACCACATAATTTAAATTATAATCGCTTATAATCAATAAAAATAATATTTATGTATTAAATACTTCCATTTTTAGCTCAATAAGTGGTGCAAAATTTGACAAACTTCTCAATGTTAGATTTTAATTTTGAAAACATATATACATTTGTTGACCAATTTTCTAGGTTTCTTAGGAAGCCAGTTTTCTATTTAAAATTTAGTATGTCTAAAATAAATTGTATAGTAATTTTTATTGTAAAGTGCAATTTGGGAATGGAACAAATTGTGCCTATTTGCTACAAATAAATGATTCATCGCACACAGCAGTACATCTTTGTTTAATGGTAATGTTTAACGGTATAATACCAAACGAATAACAATCAGTTGGAACATTTCAGTAGTCTAAAACTTTGCGTTTGTGCATAAGCCTATGAACCTACTACCTAACTAGGTGCTTGTAATATTACTAAATATTATTGTGTTATCCGTAGGGAATAGTTTATTTGGTATAATATATACTTTTCGAAAAGATTTTTATAATGAACCGTGCATCGTGTTTGATCATTTTTTTATTTCCTGTGTGCGTTTATCAACCGTTATGCGTTTCGTGTGCACCAGACAACGTCGAAAAAATTGTAGAAAACCTAAATCAGATAACGGACGAAAAAAACACTGGATGGAAAAACATTACCAACGTCAACTTCAGGGGGAAAACAAAAACAGGTTATTCTAAAACTTTTACCGCAGACGACCTATCCTACACTGGGCTGGTAACTATAGAAAACGTTGAAGAAAAATACTCTATGATTACCATGTTGCTCGGTTGTGAGTATTTAGACGTGCTGTTGAAGTACATTATTCCGGTAAAGCTCGGTTTAAAGCAGTGTAAAAGTTTGGGAGCTCAGGTGGTATTTACCAACAATACACATTTAAAAAAACAATTCTTGGACTGCTATAAATCCATGTTGAAACACATGACAGACTCGGTGGATATGTTTGACCACATGCTCAAAGCTCTGACCTGGCTCGAAGCTTTGTATCCTACCCACGAGGTACACGTCGGAGAATTTATTCAATATGTCAGTGCGCTCAAAGATTTTTCGGATACTGAATCCTTGACCGTAATTGTAGATAACTATAACCACATGTGCATCGAAGTGGACGATAATATAAGTTCTTTACAGAAGTTAAATGATGATATAGGCAATGCTGCAGAAAATGAAAATTGTGTTTTTCTTGATAACCCCGAAATGTATCCTAACGTACCAACAAATGCGATTCTTGCATATGTCAATGAACACATAACGAATCTTCGAAGTACGGTAATTGGTAACTACTATAATAACTTAGGGTTTTCTGCCGTAAGAACATGAAGAAATGTCCACACCAACGCTGTCTGAGAATTGCTAATACTTAAACAATGATCCGAGGAGAAAAAAATTACTCCAATTTAATAATATTTTAAACCTTTTAATTATTGGCTAAAAAATAATGTTATCTTAAAATAAAAATCTACCGCTGTTAAATATCCTTATTTAAAATATACATTTATCATTAAATTATGTTGGTTTTTAATTTAATCACAACTCAAGATTGCTGATTAATATTTTTATTTAGATTATTAGATGATTGCAATTTAAATCACTTTTGGTAAGTAACATATTTCTGTAAAAGGAAAACTATTTAATAAAACTAAATAAATCACACTCCTAGAACAAGACTTACAGCTTTAAGCTCATTATTCGGAGCTAATGATTAATATATACATATCCATATACTAGTATTGTAAAAAGTATTAATTATAATACAAGCAAAACGTTAACTTCTTTAAATAATATCCTATCGAATCCTAATAGCATTTTTCTTTCACCAATTAGTAAAGAAGAAATTTAAAAACATGTCTTAAATAGTAGACCGATTTCTACGTTCAATAGACATTATTCTTATACATTGTATTTTTAATTTTGTGCTTTCCACTGGTGTATTTTTTCCAAATGATTTCAAATGTCTATATGGTCAAATGTATCATTTTCATTATATAAAATCACAGTTTAATACTGTGCTTGGTTTTAATGTACACAGTTTAAATTGTCTAGTTTTCTACTTCGCTATTGTCCTTAACTAGTTCATTTATTGTGCTGGAATTTAATATAAAAAATAACGTAAACATCTGGTACTATATTGTAGTTTGGGAGTGAAGTGCACATTTACGCACAGCAGTATAAATAAACCTAACTATTTAGTCAAGCAAAAATCGTACATCATCACATTTAAAAATATGTGGCGAGAAGTAAATATGAGTGATAAAAATCTAAAAAAATAAAGGTTTAATATTGGACCATAATTAGTTTAAAAAAAATTGTTGAGAAGGTCGGTCCAATGACCGCGTGGTTTAACTTAAAATGCCGCATATGTTTTATAAGTTCAATTTTGATAATAACTATGTTCTGATATATATTATATTAAATTACATTTAAAATTATGCATATTTTTTTTTTGAAAAAGAATGGAATTAGTTTATCTTTTTTTCTAAAAGTAGTGGACAAAATTTATTAATTTTCTTTTTTAACCGTGGTTTTTAGAATTCTAACTGGTCAAAGTAGACGTAACTAAAATATAGTGTAAATTTATTACATGTAAAACTGATTTTATATATTTTATTCTAACAAAAAAAACATTTTTAAGGGACAAAAAATACAGTTTCTTGAAAACAACAATAATATGCATAATGTGATAAAAACAAATAGTAGTACATGGAACAAAAAAATAAGTTGTTTTTCAGTAAATTATTTTGGTATTCGAAATATTTGTACAAAGTAGAACATCTACAACGACAACAACAGCAGAATAAACAAAAAAACAATATCTTTTTAACGGCGAATGGTTAAAGTTTGAATTCAAACCTACTCGTCGAAAACATGTCTGTTTAATATACTTCATATTGTAAACTGAGAAAAATGTACAACAATACCGGCTATAATATACGGTTTTGATAATAAAACCAAAACAATTATAAACAGTATGGTTAATGGTACATTGTAACGTGTAATTTATTAAAAATATTTAATATATTGCCTTTTATGGATAATCAAATGATATATCGCAGTTAAAATAAATATTCATATTATCACTTTCAGCTGTAATATTTCTTGTAAACCTGATACTTCTACGTCACAAATATGCTTTGACCCCACTGTACAAGCCTTTTAACATAAAAAATATAGTAAAAAAATTAGTAGTAGCACCTGCCTGCTAATTAGCATGTTTTAGTCCAAAACAAAAATTTTAGTACAACAATACTATTTTCTTAATTGCAACAAATTAAAGAATAGAGAGGAATTAAATTAATATATTAAGAGATCGGAAAATATGGACACAATAATAAAAGTTTTTTTACCTACTCCATAGGTAAAAAAACCCTTTTTTTTTTAGGTAGTATTATTGGATTTCATACAAAATTGTTTCGTTGTAATAGTTGTTGTAAAAAGTAATAATTAACAATACTTATTTAATTTAATAAATATCAATTTATTAAGTGAAAAAGTTAAACACATGCATGAAGGTTGAATGAGTTGTGTCATAAGTACAGTACAATAATTGTGAGGTTAAATTGATAACATAATATCTTATATCTCCTTCAACATTTTTTTTTTTTTTTTAATTTTTATATATATATATATACAGTTACTACATTTTTTTTTTTTTTATATATTACATATTATATATTACATGTTATATATTTTTTTACAAATTACTACTTAATAGTACTTATTAATCGAAATTGAATTATATTTTTAATATACACATACATATATATTTTAATACTTAATACTAAAACATACAACATAAACCATAAATTACTACTACAACCATAAATTGTAGAAAATGTACAATATTCAGAACTTTTTTATCCAAAGGGATATGAAAAAATCCATCTTTCAAGTCAAGACAATTAAATATTTTTGATTTACCAAATCAACTCAGCTGATAAATCATTTAATGGTGGTATTGAAAATATTCTTTTTTTATTGCATTATTTAAATCTTTTGGATCCAAACACAGTCTGAGTTATTTTAGATATAATCCCAAGATCACACAAACGGTTTAATTCTATTTTTAATTTTTCTTTAATTTTTATTCGAACCCTATGTGGTGGTTTTGATGTTGGTGTATGATTTTCTTTCAACTTAATTGAATAAGGGTTTCTTAAAACAGCCTATACCTTTAAACACATCCTTATACTTATGCATAATTTCATTTTTTTCTTTTAAATTTGATTGTTGTAATTCATTTATAGTGGTTATATATATTAATTTTAACCTAACACGGGTCTCTAAGCCTATTATAGATACTGCCTCATTTTTAGCGACAATAAATTCTTCATGAGACATGACATTTTTATTATTTAATAAATTTATTCTCAATTTAATTATTCCTAACACTTCAATGTTTGTACCTCCATACGCTTCTACACTTATCTTTTTTTATGTATTCTTATGTGTTTGTCAATTGATTTTACAATTTGATTATAAGTTTAATATGAAATTATATTTACATCAGATCCAGAATCTAATTTAAATCTTATTAATAGCCTATTTTTAACCAACACATTTTCTACCCAAGTAAACTGATTAATTTGTCTAATTCATTTTAGTTATTGAATCACAAAAATATTCTTTTTCACTGTCACAAGACGCTAAATCCTCTACTTTATTTATTTAAGTTCTCTTACAATGTTTTTATTAAAATTTGTTCTACATACCTGAGAAAAATGATTATCCTTACCGCACCTTAGGCATTTCTTTCCTATTGCTGGACAACTTTCTGGTTCTGTATGTTTCTTGCCACATTTCATACAGTTTATCTTTGAATCTTTGGACTCGTGCTTGTACCGATTGTCATAACTTTTCTTGAACTGCTGTTCTTGTCTTTCCGATTTTTTGTTTTTTCCATATGTTGTCCTTCCTTGAAATTGATTCTCTTTCTTCTGCTGTATTGCATCAACACTGGCTTCTACTTCAGATTGTATTTGTTTAGTTTGAACTTTTTTAATTTCAGCTATTCTTAAATGTTCTATAGCCTCATTAAAATTTAAATCACCCATTTTAATTTCTTTCTTGTGTCTCAATATCATTTGTTCACAGCACAATTTTATCACGAAGTAATTCTTCTTTATCTGTGAACTCACAATTTAGACTCAAAGTTCTTACTTCTGTTAAGAAATTGTCAAATGATTCACCATCTTTTTGTTTTCTATTGTAAAACAAAAAACGTGTATATAATATATTTTTCTTTGGATTACAATATGTTTCAAATGATTTTACTACATTATCATAAACTTTTGCTTTATTATCAGCAATATCAAATGTATTGTAAACTTCTAAAGCTTCTTCTCCAATTAAGTTTAATAAAATTGCTATTTTTCTTGCATTCTCACTTGCTTATTAATAAATGTCAAACGATTATTGAAATCTTCTCCAGTTTTCACTTAAATTATATTCAAGTTTCAGTTGACTTGGCACATTGCAAACTATACTGCTGGCCATGTTAAAATTTGTTTTTTTTACAAAACCGACTACGCCATGTGAAGTATTAATTAACAATACTTCTTTAATTTAATAAATATAAATTTATTAAGCGAAAAAGATAAAGAAAAGACAAATTAAAGAATAGAGAGGAATTAAATTAATATATTAAGAGATCGGAAAATATGGACACAATAATAAAAGTTTGTTTTTTAGATTAGACTATTTTTTTACTACCTACTCCATAGGTAAAAAAACCCTTTTTTTTTAGGTAGTATTATTGGATTTCATACAAAATTGTTTCGTTATAATAGTTGTTCTAAAAAGTAATAATTAACAATACTTATTTAATTTAATAAATATCAATTTATTAAGTGAAAAAGTTAAACACATGCATGAAGGTTGAACGAGTCGTGTCATAAGTACAGTACAATAATTGTGAGGTTAAATTGATAACATAATATCTTACAGTTGTAAAAATATGGTACCTACTATCATGCAAGCAAATTCAAACGTTCAAAAACATAGTAAAGTAAACAAATAATACAACAAGACATAGCCAAAAAACAACAGCTTGTTCAACATAAAAAAAAAAAAATAGTAAAATAATAACAACTGTATTTTTAAGATACAAAACCTATCGTTGGTTTTTGTACAATACAGAAAATTTAACTAGAATTAATAATGTTTTAAAATGGGAAAATCAAGAAATAAAGAACTGTTTCTTAAAGTTATAAAACATAATATTAATAATAATAACAATAAATGTATACATAAATATTATGTTTAAGTAATTGAAATTAAAAATTGACCCTTTTGCCTTTTCGCCTTACATAATATAACTATGAATAATTTAATAGTTAGAAACTATCTAACCTATACAGTATGTTGGTTGTAGTATTATAGTTTGGTTTTCTGACGACTTATTAATTAAAAGGTCCTAAAATTAGGTCTGAAAAATACAAAATAACTACCACCCCCCGTTAAGGGCGTGAGAAATAGGTATAACTTAAATGTAAAACTATTGCCCATTTATGGTTGAATGCGCCGGCTATTACCTACTCATTAACATAGTGCTTGACAAGTAATGTAGGCTTTAAAATAATAAACTATGTATTATATTTTTTATTGCTAGAAATTAGAATAATATGTGCATTTGTTGTTGGATCACGCCAAAGTTTGGAGTGGTTAATTATTTTACAAATACAATTAATCAGATCATGGTGGTAACTCAATTTAAAAACTACTGCCCGCTAGGTTTTTTTTATAGATAGGGGTAAGAGAAAGTAGGTAAGATATAGGGGGAAGGTTGTATGATAAAATATTATTTTCATTATTAGCATGTTATTCTTCGAAAATGCACTATAGTCTATAAATACAGCTTACCAATCGATAAGAAAATCACTTTTATCTTATTTAATTGAAATTTAAACACGTATTTTAAAGTACTAAAGAAGATTAAAAAAAAACAGTACAGTGGTGACGGGGTATAGTGGGAAATACTCATTTCCCACTTTTTATCATCTTCTCCCATTTTTTATTTTATTAACTGAATATGTAATTGAAAGGTTTAATTCCAAAAAAAACAGTACAGTGGGGTCGGTGCATAGTGGGGACGTAGCATAGTTGGGTCGGGGAATAGTGGGGACGGGGAGGTCACAGTTTTACAGGAATTTTTAAATCTGAAAGTGATAAAACCACTTTCGAAAAAAAGTTTCGATGCAAATCGGTAGTTTGAGGTCACAGGAATTATTATAAATAAAAGTGATAAAATTGAATAAAATCAATTTCAAATAAACGCTTTGATATTTGTAAAAGCAGCACCTTAATTTAATACTTTCTAACTTTGCTGGTTTATATACTGTGCTTAGTTTGGACTGTATTGGATTGAAAATATTAACTACCGATTTGCATAGAAGCGTTTTTTCGAAAGTGATTTTATCACTTTCAGATTTCAAAATTCCATTACACTGTTATGTCCATTGTTTATTTAGATATTTCTTAAGCAATAGCTGTTATGCTGATTTGTTCATAGCTGTTAGCTCATATTGAGCTCATTATTGTAAATTAGATTATTTAAAAAAAAATTAAAAGAACTGATTGGTATGCTGTGCCTGGTTGCAATCCAAATAAAAAATTACTGTTATATAAACGAAATTCCTATGATCATAAATTTCGGCTCGATCTAACCATTATCGAATTTTTTGGGGTTTTCCGATTTTAAGGGCGAAGTAGTAACTTTTGCTTATACCATAAGAACAAATAATTTAGCAACTATACATTTCAATAGTAATATAATCTAGATATCTACAAAATTATGTTTTATTTGTAACGCCATTGTGGTTTATAATGATATAAAAGTTGATAATATTTACAATAACCTACGAATGTTAATGGGTTTTTTTGTATGTTTTGTTTAAGTATTAACATCTACTCAGTTGCCCGAAACAAATAACAGAACAAAAAAACATGGTAAAACGCATGTATTACCTACACAAGCTACGAGAAAAAATATGTTTTAAAAATGTTTATTAAAATTGAAATTCTTTTAAAAAAAATACCATTTCGTGTTGGATTTGGCTGTGAAATTCCTTTTTATATATTTTATCTTATTTTACATTGATATAATATGTTGCTTCGAAATTATAAATGAGTAGTTTATCGTGGGTACAGATACGAAACAAATAAAATACATCAAAGCTGAAAACAGAATATGTTTTTATGATTCATACCATAATATTGATAAAACTCCCCAGATGAATAACTTTTTGAAGTTTAGTTGTAAACTAACCACAAATTTTTTATAATTGATATTTTATATTGAAAAAATATTACATCTCTTTCTTTTATAAAACCGTAATAACATATTTTCTAAGCAAAAACTAACATGATAATTGGATTTTACTGCGAAAATCATTATTTTTTTACATCATAACATAGGTCGTGGAAATGATTACGCTTGATTAGTAGTATAGAATAGTTTTTAAACAAATAATAAAAATAAAAATTAAATGTTTTACTAAAATAGCGAAAAAGTAGTACGAAAATGTATAATTAAAGCCTTTAAACATCACACTAATGTGCTAAACTTCACCCAATAGCCTTTGATGCTCCGGGTAAACGTATATACAGGGTAATAATTTTATCGTGATAAAGTTAATATTGTCGTATACGCACTTTGGTACACGAACCGTTAAACACACACACACTGTAAATAAAACTACTTAATACCTTTTACCTAAACACTAAGGTGACTTTTAATAAGTGCACATAAATGTGGCAGAGCTTTAGTCACCTTCCGGATTGTTTCTGCCTCAGATGATTTTCCATCCAACAATCAAGCCTCTGATTATAAATAGTATAATGCTTTGGGACAGTTATATTGTCTAGCTTTATAACTATAATAAACAGGTTGGTAGCTTGAACGCAAGTATTGACACTAGCAAAAAAACAAGAGCCGTACTCTGGTTTCCTCGGGAGATGCGGCCTTAAACACAATACACTTATTATAAAAGAACACTTAGTTCGAATTACCTTAAAAACGAAGGGAGAAAAGGTAACTCTTTAAAATTTAGTAAAAGAAAAGTAACTCAAAAGTTAATAAACACATACACCATTATAATATTCGTAAAAACAATAATGCACGCGGCAATACCCTCTTCGTAACAGAACTGTCGCTTACAAGAGAGTGCATCCGACATAGTAGTTTGGGCGGCCTTAAATAATAAACATACATGAAATTTTTACTGTGTAGACAATTTTGTATAGCTTTGTTTTGATTGTTTGGCCTACATTTAATTGCATATTTGCTAATATACATTTGTCTTTAAGAACTATTCTACAATATCCCATAGTGTTCATTAAGAATCCAATTCAATTTTTTCATAATGTTTTTATACAATGTGATCTCAATTTTCAACCATTTGTTTTATTGTTTTTATCCCCCTACCAACTTAGTTTTTTTGATAGCAAACTTTTGAAACTTAAATAGTAGTCCATACATTTCGTTAACTTTTTGAAACGAGGATATTTTTAAAATGTTAACTGGTTGATAACCAGATTTGAACAACTATTTTTTAATGTTATAAGAGTTCAAAAGTAAGGACTGGAGGGAAAGTGCGGTTTGGGAAATGCGCATAGATCAAAATAATACTACACTCCACCTTTTTTCCTGCCCTGAACTTAAGACATTAATAACTTAAAAAATAGTCATCCAGAACTGGTTATCGACCAGTCAAAATGTTTAGTACATTATTCTCAATTAATAAAAAGTTAATAAAATATACGCGTAACCATTTATGTTTTAAAAGTTGCCATCAAAAAACTAAGCAGGGGGGGAGGTGTTTAAAACAAAAAGAAATGGCGAAAAATAGAGATCCCATTGCATAAAAACAATAATTAAAGAAGTAATACAATTTCTTATTAAACCCAAGTACACGCAGCACCCTTATAAGTTTAATCATTAATAAAATATGCATTAAACTTGCGTTTTAAAGTTAATTTCAACCTTATGTTTACAAGTTGTTAACGATTTATTTTCTTACATTATAATATACGATACATTTTCAACTATTTCTATAATTTTATTTTCTATCTTATCGAAAACGAGTCGTTTTTCACAAAAACTGTTGTTATTTAAATTAATGACAAACATCTGTAGGTATCATACATTATTAAATTTTAACATTATACATTACAAAAAAAACTTTTACAGAAATATTATAGTTTTTTTCGCAAGCAATAAATTTTAAAAGTATTTTGTTGTGTTATTTGTGTACTTAAATGTTTGAACTATTTATTTTCTTGCATTGTAGAACCACGTATCATAGTAAAACACTCAAAATACAAAAAAAAAACTAGAAAATACAAAGCTAAAATATCACAGCATCCATTTATATTATAAAAATAATTATAATTTCAGTTTTGTACATTATTGTATATCGATAAAAGTAGGAATTACAATCTAATTCGTAACGTATATTATTATACAATTATTCGTATATTCAAAACTTTAAAAATAA